ACTTTTGTTCCGCTGCCCGGCTCTGTGAAAAGAAGATCGATCGTTTTTTGGAAGCCAGTGACATCGCTCCCACCTTGCAGTCAAACCATGTCGACGGCGTCAGACCGCTTCAGCTCCAGCCGCGTCAACGTTGGCAGGATCCTCGACATCCTCGTGGAACGTGTGCAAGGCGTGGTTCTTGGTAGTCTTGTTCAGGTGACAGAAACCGCTCCACTAAAAACAAGTGCATGGGCACATGTGCGCTTCCGCCCTCAGGCCAGATCCCGCAGGGCGAAGCGGAGGCGCGGATGCAACACGCGCTGGACATAAAAGCAGACATGAATCGATATTGCTGACATGCGAAACGCAAAGGTGAACCAGCGCTAGGAGCAGGCGAGCGCGCGTAGCCTTGAAGTGTAGACATGAAACCGCTTCAAAACTGACCAGTCTCGCATCGCAGAGACACGCAATGTGATTCTGCGTGACACGCAGTTGCAGGGACAGAGAATCGGTCGAGTCGCAAACATCACTCTGAGCTTGGCACGCGCGCCTCTTGCAGCGTATATCAAGCAGTAGAACGCGTGTGCAAGAGTCATGGATCCCAAGAACGTGAGGAACCCAGTCGAGACGACGCCAGAATGGCTCGGTTTCTCTTTACCTCTCTCCACCCTCGTTTTCCTACGCCTTCTTATGGTGGCTTTTCCCCGGTTGCATCCGGGCCGTCCCGGGCCCTGGTAGGACGTTAAACAAGGCCTATGGGCCGTCTTCCCGAGGACGTTAACAACGGTGGCTTTTGCCCGGACTTTGGGAAGGCGGTTTGGCACATGGCGGTTGGATTGATCTTGGGCTGGTGGTGTTGCGGTTAAGCGTGCGCTTGCAATATTTCTTCGGCAGGCCCCCCTGGCAGGCCCCCCGGCCGACCTTCCGGCAGGCCCCCCTGGCAGGCCCCCTGGTCTTTAAGCTGTCTAACTGCAAGTCGTGCTTCCTGCCCTCTCCTTCGCTGCTGCCGTGCTCCACCATCTGGTGGGTGCGGACTGCCTGCTCCGCCGCGTGTGCGGGTGGGCCGGCCATGCTGCTGCACCGCACTTGCGCAAGCAGGTGCGGGCGGTGGCGCCCTCGTACTGCTCCTCATCCTGGTGTTGTTGCCAGGCTCTGAGGGTGGGCCTGGCAGCTTACGTCAAGGAAGGTGCCCTCAGGCTTCGTTCGTTGGGCCACTCGTCTCGTGGCAGGGGGGTGTTGAACTCAGCCTGTGGCCCTTAAGGCAGGCGCTTCCGCCCTGGTGAGATTGGTGGTACGCAGGAGAGAATGGTACAAGCCGGTTGCTGCACTGGTGGAAATCTCCCAGGGTTGGGGTGGGCACATGTTGTTTTGTTTGGTTGGTTCCTTGTTTTTAGGTGGGCAATAACAGAAGAAAAGCTCACCTGATCCAGCACTGCCATTTGCCCAAGAAAGCCCCCAAGAATGAAAGATACTAGTCCCCATATTCCCAGTAAAAAGGAAGAACCTGTAGGTAGATATATATATATATATATGTATATATATATAATATACATATACATATAATATGTATATATATATATATGTATTATATATATATATATATTTATGTTTTTTGGGGGAGTGGGGCTTTAGGCAAATAGTAGATCACGGTGCGCGTCTGCGCTCCCGAAGGCTCGGAGGCCGCCAAAGAGCGACCGGAGGTGCATCTACGAGGCCCTGTTCAGTTCAGAGGGGTTTAGGGTTTAGGGTTTAGGGTTTAGGGTTTAGGGTTTAGTTGGTTCAGGGGTTTGGGGTTTAGGGCTTGTGGAGTTGCGGTCTAGGGTTCGAGGGTTTGGGGGCTTGAGGGTTTTTAGGAAGTTTTCATAGGATTTGAGGGTTTAGTTTGTGTTGGGATTAAGTAGAGTTTATGATTTAGTGCTAAGGCTTTGTTTAGAAAGTTTCGAGTCTTACGAAACCCTTCTGAACTAGACTATGACGGGCTTACCCCGATGAGTGGCAAGAAGGTCATGGCGGAAGACGCTGCCAAAAAGGAGCTGGTCATCTTCAACGTGTGGAGTCCATTGTGACAATGGCAAACACCACCTTCGCCGACCTTCGAATCAAAGTGGGTGAGAAGTTCGGCATCAGAAAGAGCCACGCCAAAACGTCAATCATGAGCTACAAAGCCAGCCCGCTCAGCTCAGGTCGCAAGACGCTTTTTTTCGGACTGAGCCTCAAACGCGGGAACACTATGCGGATGAACACAGGCGTGTCTGTTGGAGGAGAACGAGCAAAGGCTTCCAATGAGGAAGTAGCTATCGTGATTCAGCCTATGGTTGCAGAGTCGGACGTCCATGTTGTTCGCAACGCGTTGAGTTTGAACCAAACTAACTTTGAAGCTTTCATCAAGAGCCTGAGCGTTGAGACGCTCACCACAATGGTGGAGAGCATGACTAATCAGACTCGCACGGGGGTTGTTTCGTGCACCGATACAAACTCGTAACGTTTAAGATCAAAGCCTCGCAGTACTAGTACTTCAACAACTCTGTGAGTTCCCACCAGAAAACACGAAAACCCCTCAGCTCTACAACTCTCACCCCCAAAGCCTGAACGCCAAAGCTTGGAGCCCTAGAAGCCTACTATAGGGGTCGGAAGAATTGCTATCCTGTGGTCCCTGTATAAGTATACTAGAATACCTCCCCCCAAGCAAACAAAAGCTATTCTAATTGTTAAGGCCCCTAAACCCTGACACGCTGACACCCTGACACCCTGACACCCTAAACCCTAAACCCTAAACCCTAAACCCTAAACCCTCAGCCCTAAGCCCTAAGCCCTAAGCCCTAAGCCCTAAACCCTAAACCCTAAACCCTATTCGGATTCAATATTTCGGCCGTCGGCCCTGTACTACAGCACCATCTTGCAAGGAGAAGATGGAATGGAGCGAGGCGCTGCAGCTCGAGCTGGCGCAGGTCGGCGACCCCACGAGCCAGAGGGTTTAGGGTTTAGGGTTTAGGGTTTAGGGTTTAGGGTTTAGGGTTTAGGGTTTAGGGTTTAGGGTTTAGGGTTTAGGGGTTGAAGTGGTAAGCCTTAAAATTCGTTGTGTAGGGTCTAGGATTTGCGGTTTAGGGTCTCAACTTTCGCGCTAAAGCGCAGAGAGAGAGAGAGAGAGAGAGGGGGAAAACCTCAAGAAGCGGGACAGCCTAACGTTCTGGGGCAAGAGTTGTAAGTTTTTGGAGGCCAGCCCTTTTACCCTGAGCTCTAAACCCGAAATCCTTAAATCCCAGACCCCAACCCCGCAACACTATGAGCTGCAATGGGAAGCCGGGCCAAATTCCGGCACCTTTCCAGAGTTGTTGGGCTTCTGGCGGGCTGAAGGGTTTGTGGGTCTTGGGCACAACCCTAAACCCTTAAACCCCTACGCCCCCACCCCTAAACCCTTCAACCCCTACGCTCCTAAGTCCCTAAACCCCTAAGCCCCTAAGTTCCTAAGCCCCTAAACCCCTAAACCTTAAACCCTAATCCCTAAACCCTAAACCCTAAACCCTAAACCCTAAACCCTAAACCCTAAACCAACCCTAAGCCCCTAAACCGGTGCATGGAGAAGGTCAAGTTGGCTCCCGATTCCTTGGCGGCCAAGCACAAACCGACTCATGGCTGCTTCCGCCTTTTTTTTTTTTTTGTTCCTTCCTTTGGGTTTAGGCTTTGGGGTTTAGGGTTTGGGGTTTAGGCTTTGGGGTTTAGGGTTTGGCGTTTAGGGTTTGCAGCTTAGGGTTTAGGGCCGGGCTCGCTTGTTCCCTTACAAAGCAGCCAACCCCAAAAGGGTACCCTTCGTATCAATATGGTTACTAGGCCTAGACCCTGTCCCTTCAAGACAATCCCTAAACCTAAACCCTGAACCCCAAACCCTAAACCCTAAACCCTAAAGGGTTTGGGGCGGTTATAGGGTTTAGGGGTTTCAGGGTTTGCAAAGTTGAGGGTTTAACGACGTTGTCTTATCATGAGCCCCAAGCCCGAAGGTGAGTAGTTCTCCCAAGTGGGATTCCTTCTTTGGGTCATGGTGACAAGCCACACCCTAAACCCTAAACCCTAAACCCGAAACCCTTTAGGGGTTAGGGTTTAGGAGCCCTGAACCTGAAACCCTTTGCGGTGTTGACGCCCTAGAGGGTTGGGCGTTTTGGGTTCCTAACGGGTTTAGGGCTTAGGGCTTATAGGGTCCTGAACCCTAAGTCTTTCGACCCTACACCCTCCACCAAACACCCTTCAGCTCTTAGGTTTTAAACGTTCGAGCGGCCTCTATGGCGAACTGATTCTTGGGCTCTGAAAAGTGAAGATCATTTCGGGCCGCTATGGTGCAAACCCCCTAAACCCCAAACCCCAAACCCCAAACCCCAAACCCCAAACCCTAAACCCTAAACCCTAAACCCTAAACCCTAAACCCTAAACCCTAAACCCTACGAAAAGCAGCTAGGGCCGACCTCCTCGTCGTCCTCATGCGGAACAAGCAGTTCGAGGATGTGATCGAGCCTCGCCCTGCTCTTCAGGGCTTAGGGATTAGGGTTTAGGGTTTAGGGTTTAGGGTTTGGGGTTTAGGGTTTAGGGTTTGGGGCTTGGGGTTAAGGTTTGGGCTTTTTGCTTAGGATTTGGGGTTCAGGCCAGGGTTCAGGGTTTAGGGTTTAAGGTTTAGGGTTTGTGTTATTGGTGGGCTTCCAGATGTAGTGTCTGATGATTTCGGGTAGGGAGTTTGGGGGTTCAGATTTCTGACATTTCTGGGCTTGGATGCAGCTTTCTTCGCCGGTTCTTCTGGTGGGGCCCAAGCAAGGGAGTGACGTGCAGTGAGCTGATACGTATGCCTAAGCCAGAAACCTGCGCCTGAACTCGATATAAACCCTGCAAACCCCTCCAACCCTATAAACCCTGTAAGCCCCATAAACCCTGCATACCCTGACCCTTAGCTTCCTAGACTAGACCCTAGATCCTCGCAACCCTAACCCTTGCGTAAACTGCTGCAGGCCCTGCTGGCCATTGCCAAGCGGCGTGCTCCAATGCCACATGCAGTGCTGCTACGTGCGCTGATGGAGCTCCCGTGCAGTGGCATTTACAGGGGGTATGGGGCTTTGCGGATGTTTAGGCTTCGAAACCCTGAACCCTAAACCCTGAACCCTGAACCCTAAACCCTAAACCCTAAACCCCCCTAAGGGCTTTCAGGCTGGGGAGGGCTGAGGCTTGGGAGGGGCTGGAGATCTTTGAGGGGTTTGAGGGCTTGGGGTTCGGAATTTAGGGTTTAGGGTTTAGGGTTTAGGGTTTAGGGTTTAGGGCTTGTTGTTTACCGTTAAGAGTTTTAGGATACCAGGGTACAGGGGTTTAGGGGTGGAGGCTTTTGTTGTTTAGGCATATACGAGTTCTAAGTTTTGGGGGGTTTGGTTTACTGAGTTTTCTGGCAGGGAAGGCTTTAGGGTTCACAGGGTTTAGAGCCGAATCCTCGCTGGAGCACCGGGAGCATTGTAATATCCACCCGATACCCTACACAAAAACATTCGGAACGTTCCAAGCTATTTAAAGTCGTCCCTACCCACACTTCGCCCTGAAAGAAAGAACTGTCGCCAACGATGTTCAGTCGACTGCCCTTTTAAGGCAGAGGCAGATTCTGCGGTCGCAAAGTGCCAGAAACCCAGCCACTCTTCAAAGCCCTCGCTCCTGACCCCTAAATCCCCAAAACTCCACATGAATCTTTTCTTCTATTTTCGACCATCTTGGCTCGGGACCCTGTTGATTCTACATTAGGTGTATAGCCAATCTTAGCCCTGAACCCTAAGTCCTATACCCTAAACCCTAAAACCCGAAATCCCGAAATTGCAGTATCCAGGCAAGGGCCGAGCTTCTCAGCTGTCCGAGAAGCTTTGACAATGCTGGTGGGCGCTTGCCAGTGGCCCTCCGCCATCGAGAAGGCCAGTGCTATTATTAGGGTTTTTGGAGTACTATACGTTAACACTTGTTCTGGTTCTGGGCTCCTTTCATAGCTACTTGTACCTAAAAAGTATATACGTTTTTCGAGTGTCTACTCCAAAGTAGGGGGAATTATGGTTCCGGGTACAAGCCCTCGAGGGAGGGGTGGCAAGCAAACTCACCGCAGGAGCCAAAGCGCGCAAGACCCTAAGCATTGAAACCACGGGTTTCGGATTCAGAGTTTAGGGTTCAGGGTTCAGGGTTTCGGGTTTGGGGTTAGGTTTGAGGGCTTGGGGTCGGGTCGTTGGCCCACAGCTTGAGAGGATTCAGGCGCCAATGCTGAGTGCTGGGGCTCTGGAGCCCCAGGGTGGAAGGCATGCCTTCCTTTAACCCACTTGCGGAGGGCTTCCCTTCTTAAACTCCTTCAACCAAGAGATTGTCCCATTTTTTTGGTTTAGGCTTTTGGGTTTTCTTGCTAGGTGTGGAGGAAACCTGGTCGCTGGGTCGGGGGGGCGGGGGGGGGGGGGGGGGGGGGGCGAAAAAGACATGGCATGAGAAATTCTTGGGATGTGATAGAACCTGCCTACCATGATCCCCTTGGTGTCCCTATAAACCCGACAAACCACGGAACATGTGTTGCTGGCAACCTCCATGTATTTCCGGGGACACCGGGTTTCTAAGCGGAACTATATATGGCTGAACAGCGCGTACAGTGTAGGAGTCAGGGCTTAGAGCGATTTTTCAGAACTCTGTGCAGAAGCCGTCGACCGAAAGCTTAAGGCCAGTGGCCACCACCAGGCCCAACAGGCCCCAAGCCCTAAAGCCGCAGGCCTAAATCCTAAAGATTAAGGGCCATTGGCCCCTAAAACCCCAAAGCCTAGGCCCACGCCCAAGGCCGGGCATTGCCCAAATTTATCGAGCATTGACCAAAAATTGTGCATTTGGCCCAATTGTGGCCAAAACTTTTGCGGGCATTACCCCAAATTATCGGGCATAGCCAATGGTAACTCAAGACCCACGCTCCGCACCCCAAACCCTGAACCCTAAATACCCTCTAAATCCCAAACCCCAAGCCCTAGACCCCAAACCAACCCCAAACCCTCCAAACCCTCCAAACCCCCTAAACCCCCTAAACCCCCTAAACCCCCTAAACCCTAAACCCCCTAAACCCTAAACCCTAAACCCTAAACCCTAAACCCTAAAAAAGAGCTCGGGCTTGAGGATGACCCCCAAGCCACAAGAATGCAGGAATGGTTTCTCCAGGCCATCCGTCCGGTTGCGCCCCGGCCAGAAGAAGGGTTTAGGGTTTGGGGTTTAGGGTTTAGGGTTTAGGGTTTAGGGTTTAGGGTTTTGGGGTTTCGGGTTTCGGGTTTGGGGTTTAGGGTTTAGGGTTTAGGGTTCGAGGTACAACCTCAGAGGTACGCTAACCCCTTGATCCTGAATCGCCTGCCGCGTGCGAATAGTCAGAGCAGGCTTCCTGGTTCTTGGAATGGCGTGGTAGCTGCAATCTACATCGAAACGCAAACAAGTTGTAAGGCTAGGAGATCACCAGGAAAAGAAAAGGGTGGAACTGATGCCCTGACAAGGGAGCTTCAGAGTCGCTTTACTTCAACCCTAAAAGCTAAACCCTAAAAGCTAAACCCTAAACCCTAAACCCTAAACCCTAAACCCTAAACCCTAAACCCTAAACCCTAAACCCTAAACCCTAAACCCTAAACCCTAAACCCTAGCTAACAAGCATCGTTTAGGTTGAGATGTTCTTGGACGAGTCTAGCACCACCATAGCCCAGCGCGATTTGCTGGAGGCCGAGGATTTGGGGTGGGCGGCTTTGTTAACGTTTAGGGTTTAGGGTTTAGGGCTTCGGGATATAGGGCTTGTGGTCTAAGAGTTTGCGGGTGTCGAGCGTGGTGGGGTTGTTATCCACATGTATCTACTGTCTTGCTTTAAGTCGATCCCTTTCCAAGATAAGCCGTTTCATCTACTCCCTGGAAAACTTCTCAAGATTTACTTTTCCTATGTATTTGTTGGGCACTACATCGGTGAATATTGGGGCAGGGTGGGGTGCTAGAGAAGTCTTGTTCGCACTGGACTCTGCAAAGTAGCTTCACTGTCTTCATCGAGGTGTTGATCGATATATTCGAAAGCCCTAAACCCGAAATACCCTGAAGCCCTTAGCTCCCCCTCCACCCCCAGTCCTACTAACATCGCGGGTTGGTGGGGGGTAAGGGGGAGGGGGTCGGGGGGTAATATATCAGGGAAAGGGGATTAGCATCTTTCTCGTTATGTTATGGCCTCGGAGCCCTTGTCAAGCTTTTTGGGTTGCTTTTGAGAAGGTTGCGTTTGAAACTGTGAGATCTTTACAGCCTAAGCGCACGCACCTAAACCCATCTAAACCCTAAACCCATCTAAACCCATCTAAAACCCTCAACCCTAAACCTTCAGACCTAAAGGTTCTTCGGGGCCAGGGTTTGTGTTCCAGACTCCTGTGGGAACGGGTCCGTCCCGTAGGCGAAGACGTGTACCTTCGAGAAGGGCACGCCCCTTGGCTGGATCAGCATTTGGAATATAGACTCTCAAATAGTAGGATTCCCTTCTAAGAAGGACTCCATTCCCCTAATTTCGGAAGCCGCCATTACTAAGCCGGATTTTCAGGGCTTTCCTGGCCTTAAAGATTCGTACAGGAGCACTGTAGTCAGCAGAAAGAAGGGAAGCTACAGTCACGGGATTACCGGAGGACGGGGGGCGCTGCAGACTCCCTTCATGGCCTCGAAGTTACGGCTCGCTGCTCTCTTTTGAAAGCCTTACCTACTATATAGTATATACTTGGGCCCTAAAGCTACCATATGGGAAGCCCTTTAAGGCCCAAGTATGTACCACATAGGTACGTATGGACCCTTAGGGTTTTGCCACAGGTTCCCCAAAAAGGTCTCTACTTTCGAGAACCCGATCGGTTCGGGATGACTTCAGTGCATCCTTGGTGGCTTTACCTGCCCAGAGGGTGCCTCACTTGCTCCATCAATTCTCATAGTATCTTGGTGCGAGAATACGCCAAATAGCATAGAACTGCCTTAAAGGGACCCCCCCAAAAAGGGCACCCCTAATTTCGGAACCCCCCCCCCCATATTCAGGAAGATTTTTTCAGAGGGGTTTAAGGACCATCCTAGTTGAGGGAGCGTCTTCTTTAGGGATCTTGGAGGGCTCCCAGGAAACTTTATGTTTGGGTTCAGGGTTTAGGGATTAGGGTTTAGGGTTTAGGGGTTCGGGGTTTAGGGTGTAGGGCTTAGGTTAATGCTGTTGGGATTAAGGGCTAGTCTACGGGTTTAGGGTTGGGGGCTTGGGAAAGAAGGTTTCGGGCTTAGGTGGTTTGTTATTCGTTTGTGTTGTTTAGGCGTTTGGGTTCAGTGTTCACGTTTTAGGGTCTGAGGCTTATAGCTGAGGCTCCCGAAACGCTAAACCCTAGACCGCAAACCCTACACCCTAATTAAACCCGAATCCCTAAACCCTGAACCCTGGACCCTAAACCCTAAACCCTAAACCCTAAACCCTAAACCCTAAACCCTAAACCCTAAACCCTAAACCCTAAACCCTAAACCCTAAACCCTAAACCCAACCAAAACAAGTGCCCAACATCTGGAACTCCCCAAATGCCACTATCACGGTTGCTGGTGTGCCAAGGTACGGCCACGAGCTCCGAGCAACCGCCGAGGGGGACATGGAGATCGATGCCTCGGATTGCGTCGCTCTGAGCCGTGGTTGAGGGATTTTTGGGGGGTTTAGGGTTTAGGGTTTCGGGTTTGGGGTTTGGGGTTTAGGGTTGAAGAGTTCGGGGTTTGGGGTTGAGGGTTTTTCATGAGTTTTTGGGCGTCGATCGTTTCAGGTGCAAGTTTGCCCCTCGCCGCTTAGAATGCGAGATTGCTCTCGTTGAAGCGCGCTTTGTATTCATTCGTTCGTTCGCACCTACGTAGAGCCAACTAGCAAGCTGCAACTTCTGGCAACACGGCGACCGGCAACTTGAATGTTTGCTTTCGGCTTGGGGGTTGTCATTTTTCACTTGCACGCCTTCTATCTTTAAAATCAGCCCAAATCCCAAACTCTTAACCCTGAACCCTGAACCCTAAACCCTAAACCCTAGCCCCCAAAGGGTTGAAAGAGGCACTGTAGGGACCCAAACTCAGGAGTCTCGACGACGAGGAGCTGCTGGGCGATCGCGTCCGAAGAATCGACTGATGGCTTCAAAATTACAGGGGGTTTAGGGTTTAGGGTATAGCCCCGTTAGGACATTTATTTGTTTGTATAAACCCAAGGGCCCAAGACAATGTTCAAAATTATTTTTTATGAAGGATCTAAGGGGAGTGCAAGATTTTTAGGTGGGGAATACATGAACTCCATTGTCCAGGGATGATCGTAGAAAAAAGGGTAGAGAGTCTAAAGCTGTATAGTAGGCAAAATTTGCCGTGATTCAACCCATGTGCGGCCCATGACACACGGCAGGAGCTATTCCTCCTGACACGCGACCTAAACGGCCTGTTCTTCGCAAGTTTTGGTAGGCTTGACTGCATGCTGTGCTTGCACTGCCGTTTTCAGGCATGTTGATCTTCACTGTAAGCCCTAGACGGACTTTAGGGATTATGTGGTCTACCGGCCTTTTGGGGCTTTCTGTGCGACCCTACTAGACGTGGTGACTTCTTATGGTCGGCCCCTATTCTTTAGGGTTTAGGGTTTAGGCTTAGGGTTTAGGGTCTAGGGCCCCTATTATTTAGGGTACCCAAAAAGAGACCCGAATTGAGAGGACTCACCATAGGAACCCTGGAGGAACCTCAACCCAATAGTTTCTTCACCCCATGAACGCTGAAAACCCTGCAAGGCACAAGCAGGAAAAACTCTCTGAACCCGAAAGAGCTCCTACTCGTATCATCCTTCTACCCGAAACCCTAAACTCCATACTGAAGCCCTAAACTGCGCTAACCCGCAACCCTAAACCCTAAACCCTCTTACTTAGGACCAATAGCTGCCATCCCAGGAGTGCTTCGTGAGCAACGCCTCCCCGCTGGTGCTGTGGTACTGGGACAAAGAGCCCCTGAGCCGCAAGCAGGGGTTTAGGGTTTAGGGTTTAGGGTTAGGGTTGGGTTTGGGGTTTGGGGTTTGAGGGTTTGAGGGTTTGGGGTTTGAGGGTTTAGGGTTTCAAAACTAGCCCTGAAGGGTCCATGTACCTCAATATGTTATACCCCCTGATCCCGACGCCCTAACACCCTGACACCCTAAAGTCTAGTACCTGCACAGGAAAAGTACTTGAAGGCCCAAGTATTCCCTACGCAGGTTTTCGATGGTTTAGGGCCCTTGCTTGTGTCGGCGCCAGTTTCAAGGTGCTATCTCTGTTTAGCGGTATAACTGGGGTATAGGGTATAGGGTTTAGTGTTTAGGGTTTAGGGTTTAGATCCTAGTTTCGTTGAAGCTTGGGACACTGTGGGTTCAACCAGCAGATCAGGGGACGCCCCTTGTCGTTTTAGGCATCCTGGTTCTGTCCCTGGATCCTGAATCCTACGCAGCGAGTACGACTGCTGCTGCTGCTACTACTACTCCTCCTCCTACTCCTACTACTACTACTACGACGACTACTACGACGACTCTACTACTCTGCGACTCTACTACTCTACGACTCTACGACTCTACGACTCTACGACTCTACGACTCTACTACTCTACTACTCTACTACTCTACTACTCTACTACTCTACTACTATTGCTTCTACGACCCTGAAGCCAAAGCCCTATAAACACTGAAACCCTACTATAGCTGCTACTATCGCTGAGCACTCCTAGATGCTAGAGCCAGCCCTGGCTTGCCCTTGCTCAGGATTCCTTGCTCTGAGCTTGATGGGGTTTACTGTTTGGGATTTAGGGATTTAGGGTTTAGGGTTTGGGGTTTAGGATTTGGGGTTTAGGGTTTGGGGTTTAGGAGGCTTGTATGGGAGGAGTCGAAGGATAGCAGGGTTTTGTAAGCCCTGTCTGGCAGGCTTTTGCCTGACCTGAACATGCCTTACGCTTGTGCAGGAGATGATGGCCCGGAAATGACTTGACCACAGTAATGAGTGCTCAGGGACCGCCATCCATGAACACAGACAGGTCCTGTACCGTTAAGGGTAACATAGAGGGGGACATATCATTGAGAGGTTGATGCTTCCCACTCTTGGGGGCGTTTATCGACTTCGCCATCCGTCTAGGACAGTTTCTACTGGGTAGTTTCCCCCATGCCCCAACCGTTTCATGGGACTGCAGTTGGGATGAAACCCTAAACCCTAAACCCTAAACCCCTAAACCAGTAGCTCATGCGTTTGCCAAGGCATCCAGTGATTGCTGGCGCTCTCGAAGGACAGTTGCTTGGCTGTTTCTTCATGAGGCTTTGCTGGTAGTATAGGGTCGGAATAGATCCTTGATAGTATTCCTTATGGTCCCCGTGCAACTAGACTATACGAACCCCCGAAACCCTATTCAAAATATTCAGGTCCCTATATTGCTTCGCTCGTTTACGGCACTAGTCCCCCATAGAACTGCGACGACCACGGACTCCTACAGGTTGACAGATCGACATCGCAGAGTGCGAGGGGTGTTGATCCTGTCAGCTGTCCTTGGAAGCCCTGTCATTATCACACCCAGGGTTTAGGGTTTACGTAGGGTTTAGGAAAAAGGATAGCCCTGAAAGAAAGTGCAGACAGCCCTGCACAAATCGCAACCTGAAGACCCCTTGAACAGGAACACAGACAACAACTCGCGCTCATTCTCAAATTCGGTCCAGTAGCTACAATCACCCATGAGCTTCACATCCCAAACCCTGAGCTCCCTAAACCCTGCCCTTGAGCCCTCAACCGTTCAACCCTAAACCCTAAACCCTAAACCTTAAACCCCGATCATTGGGGAGCTCCCCTAGACCCTAGCGCCTCGACCGTGCTAAGATGTAGGGTGTGGCATGCCCTACAGACCACCAAACCCTAAACCCTAAAACCTGGGCCGGCCACCCTAACATCCTCAGTACTATAAGCCCCCAAACCCTGAAAACTCTATAACCCGACGTCCTGAGAACCCTACAAGCCCTACCGTACAAACCCGATAAGCCCTTAAAAACCCGTAAGCCCAGCAAATCTTGAGAAGCCAACAAATCCCCTAGGGACTAACCATTGTCAACATCTCCCCCTAGAATCCCCATATAACCATAAATCAAGCAAACACAAAAAAGTCCCTTCTCTTGAAGTGAACCCTAACCCATAGTCTCTAAGCCTAAACCCTAAACCCTAGGCCCTGGTATCAGGTGCCAGGATGGGTTGTTAGGCCCTAGAATCCCCCCAATAATCAGCCCCATAGAAAAAAGGGCCTTTTTTGAAGGGGGGTTGTAGGGTAGAATGCCAAACCTCAACCCTAAACCCTAAACCCTGTTTCGGGTTTAGGGTTTAGGGTTTAGGGTTTAGGGTTTAGGGTTTAGGGTTTAGGGAAACCCAGGCTCATCCGCATCACCAAGCTGGCGAAGCGGACGACGCTCAGCGGCTCGGCACAGCGACCCCCACAAGCCCGGGTTTAGGGTTTAGGGTTTAGGGTTTAGGGTTTAGGGTTTAGGGTTTAGGGTTTAGGGATGTGCCTGGCGGCTCCGAAGGCCTGCACTGGCTTTAGGGTTTAGGGTTTAGGGTTTTGGGTGTACTCCAGGGTAGTGCCTTTTTTGGGGCAGTATACTAGAATCGCCTATATCTAACCCAAACCAGGAACTACGTTAGAGCCTTCAGGTCGGTGCGGGGTTGAAGTTTATTCATCGCACATGAGCCCTAAACTGCTTGAGCTTATCAAGCCAGGCAGCAGCAGGTCAGAGTGTTTTGTATCTAGGGGAAGTCTATGGATGTGTGTCATGGGGTCCTATACAGCCCCACGCTCAGTAGCCCCGGCCATAAGTTGGGCATAAATATGGTTTGATTGAGCTTTCCTTTGGGCCATATCTTATAGGCGTCGAGTGACACCCCGCTTCAGTGTTGCAGCAATGTTGCGGATTCAGATGATGGCTACTGGCCAAGAGGTGGCTTGCCTTGAGCTGGAGGAGTTGCTGAGGGCTGCCGGCGACACTGCTACGGGCCACGTGCGCGCCCTAAAGCTCCATCTCCAAAGGCTCTGTGGACATCCCCGGTTTCGACAGCGGCTCCTGCAAGAAGACGGGCAGATTTTGCCCGACGAGGCGGTTCTGCAAGCACCTCGCCGATTGAACCTTGTAATTCTAAGCTTTGCCGAGACCTCTGTCGATCATATTGACAGGTTGTTCCATGCAGTGCGATCAGACGACACAGAACAACTAGAAGCAATCTTGCGGCGACCCCAAGATCCAAACCACCGAAGGGCGCGAGACAACATGACAGCTTTACATGTTGCGGCTATGTCTGGCTTGGAAGAGGGCCACAAGGTTGCTTCTGGAAGCTGGTGCAGGAACCGACTTAACAGAAGACCAGGGCGCCACGCCTCTTTTCTTCGCAGCTCGGAATGGCCACGTGAGAGTGGCACGCTTGCTTTTGGAGTTGGGTGCAGACAAGGACCTGGCCACAGCAGATGGAGACACACCGCTTGGCATCGCAGCTCAGAGCAGCCACTTGGAAGTGGCACGTTTGTTGCTTGAGTTTGGTGCGGGCAAGGACCTGGCCGGTTGAGATGGAGCCACGCCTCTTCTCATCGCAGCTCAAGACGACAAGCAAAGGCCTTATTTTGGGTTTTCAGGTAGGCGCGTACCTAAGGTGGCGGTGGTAAGGAGGATACGGTAGCAAAAGAGAGCCCAACCCCATTGCCAAGCCCCCAACCCCGCAAAGGTTCCCTCTAGTTAAGGCCCTTAAGACGGTTGGGGGGAGCCTGGGAAGGTTCAAGACTTCAAGACCCTTAAATTGACCAAAAGGACTCTTACCTAAACCCTGAACATCCCTGAACCCTGAACCCTAAACCCTAACTCCCCGCCCAGATCGCATGGTGTCAGCGCTGCACGTCCTTTGCGAGCCGCCAAGGCTGAGGGCGTCAATACCTCTTAAAGCAGATCTTGGGTTTAGGGTTTAGGGCTTAGGGCTTAGGGTTTAGGGCCTGTTTAGG